GGTCAAGACGCGAGACAAGTGAAAATGACAAATCCGCACGTGTATCAAACGACGTTTTTTAATACATTTGCGAAAAAACTACATTGAAAGTAAAATAAAAAAGTATTTAAAAAAATCTCATTTTCTGCTAGTAAATTAAAATAATGAAATACAACCACTGCAACCATTATTTAAAAGTCTATGGAAATCTAGTTCTAACGTGCTGTTTTTGTTTATTTTCTGTAATATCGGTCTGTAACCACTTTTCTTATTATGAAGTCCTGGTACTTTTGTTTAAACTTCTTTAGGAACCCGTGCACGGTAGTGAGATACAATTTATCTGTAATACATAGAACAAATATATACATAAAAATCTCGCCTGTCACCCATTCAGGGGTAGGCAGAGACTGTGGACCTCCACTCGATACGTTCATTATATAGTATTTGTAAATAAATATAAGTTTTAATGACGAATGACTTACGTCACAAAGCACATAAATATGAAATAAATATACAATCTCTTTAGTTCTATGTTTAAGACTTAAAACAACAGTAAATTAAAAAAAAACTGGAAAAGTAAAAAGCACTAGTGCGAGAAATCCAACTTTCCGCACGATTTGTAGTGCGAAAAATACCACGTTTTGAGCAACTGTATTAAAAAGGAATTTTTCTACGATTTTCAAGGTTTTGCGCGAGATAATTAACACGATCGTAACTCACAAAACGAAAATGGCAGACTGAGCTCAAGTATGTCGAACTCCGCGTACTGTTGCCACACATGCCCCGCGCACTACGCACTTCTACTGTATTTATTGTTCTGTGGCCGTTCGTAACAACGAGGTTATAAGCTACCTATATCAGTTATCAATCAATACTCTTCCACAGGTAGACGAATCCCGAAACCTAGTATACTTCGTTGGTCTCCGCGAAACACCCTTAGAGCGGCATCTCTACGTGGCTCCTATCTGCCCCCCACGGCCACACCAGGTTGCCCTGCTTACCACCACTGGGCACTCGTGTACTGTTGATATTGATCAAGTAAGTTCTAGTTACCAATTAGGGCCATTACCAGGTCCCCCACTTTGTCAACTAACAGTACAGCAATATCACTAATACGACAATGGAGCAATTCTGTTTGCCACAACTGGACCAGTTCCTTAGTAAGTTAACTTTTGATCCTTGGTTATGCGGGAAGGGCACTATAACCTGTGCAGTTCAGGTCCTGACCTCAGATCAACCTGTGGACAGGGTTGTCACAGATTTCATCCGTGTCTCCAGAGGCTAGTGCCTCAGGTGAGCGGCCCCGGGTGCATGTAAAGTGCACGAATAGAAAATATAGAATAGAATAGAAGGAATAGGAAATAAGGAGGGTTCCTTATTTTCTAGATACGTAGGAACTGTTGGCGCGCTCACTTCCCGTTGTGCATTGCACAACTAACGATTGCCACGGCTAAGCCGTGGGGTCTACCGACTAGAAATCTCCGGCAGTAGCCTGAAGTTTCTGGGAACTAAAGAGACGCTTCAGCGTCGGGAGTTGAGCGTGCCTACAGCTCCGCTACCAAAGAGGAGATTTGGTAGTGGGTTTTAGAGAGAGAGAGGCTTAGCGGTGGCAACCGTTAGTTGTGCAATGCACAACGGGAAGTACGCGTGCCAACAGGTCCAGTACCTATCTGGAAAATATTGAAGGTACCGGATGAAGCCTGTGAAGGATGAAATCAAACGGGCTCGTCTGGGGGTCAGGACCTGACTGAGAAGGTCCCAGTACCTGCACAGGTAATAGTGCCCTTCGAGGGTGACTATAATAAAAGTGTATGTAGAAGTACGGGCTGTGTCATTTCAATACTTCTCCAAATAATCATTTTTCGTGACCAGTAGAGGCGCGTATCTTTTTATAGATAGTACAGGCGGTCTAATAAGTGGAATAAAAAAATTATGAAAAGTAATTTTTTTTATACACTTGCCTGTACTTAATTTAACTAGGATCAAGTATGAGTTCAAAGACCCCTTTTCTTCTGATCAGACTTGTGACTCATGCATACTCGAAGTCGATATATCATAATCGTCTCGACTGTGTAGGGACACGGCATTAAATCAATAGTATCGATACTGCACTTGTGACTAGTGTCGTACTCATAAAAGTATCGATACCGCAGCGTATCGATACTTTCGTCCTACACATTTATCTTGCTTAAAGACAGAATAAAACACTTGTCATTTAATCAATGATTTTTTACAAAAAATCATACAATTGAAAAAATCTAACACAGTGTTGTCGCACAAGTTGTTCCAGCATTCCATGAGGTATGTCTGTCAATTGTCATTTGTTATTGAAAAATCAAATAATAATAAATTGCTTTAATTTTTAGTTAAAACCAACAAAACCACTGCTGTTAACAGTACAGTTCCTTGTGAAAAATTACTTCGTCACTCAAAACGTTGTAATACGATACGATACTTGTCAAAACGTACTCATTTCAAAAAATCGATACTTTTTCCGTATCTCTACTCGTGACGTTCCTACCTATGAGAGCACCTTACTGTGTACGTGTATGTAGGGTGTTTTTTTTATGTTTATATAAACTGTTACCAGGATTGTACAGTCGCTGTGATAACAACATCGAACATAGGAAGCGTGCCCGTGACGCGCGTTTTTCGTTTGATTCATTCACCGCAGCCGCAGCTACTTGCGCACGGGACGCTTATGGAACGCACACCTTCAGGTAATCCAATTTAATAATAACGCACACACTCATCGCATTAGGGAAATACCTGTATGGACTATGGAGCGAGGTATGCTCGGAGTTTCTCTGCGGGACAAGGTACGGATTGAGGTTATCCGACAGAGAACCAAGTTCGTCGACATATCGATAAGTTGGAGTAATCGTACGGGTGTGACGTCATTTCGGTTCGGTTGCGACATCGAGTATATAACCAGATATGGAGACGAAAAAAGGGCCAGGTAAATGGGCCTTATATCACTTTTAAATATCAACTCCCGTTTGCCCAAAAATCACAAATTGGAAAACTATAATTGTACAGCGCCAACGACTGATCTGTGTGTACGTCTCCGTATATTGCAAAAATATTCTGTATTTATTGTAATAAAGATAATATCTCTAACAATGCCGTGCTGTTCTATTCGGTGGTGTGGGAAAAACACAAAACATCTAATTTCAAAACAAACGGAATCACATTTCATCGGTAATTAAATATGTAAATTTGCAATGAACCAAAACTACACTGGTCGATTTCACATGGTCGTGAAACAATTGACGACACCCGTCAATTGTTTCAAATTCGGGCTGGCCAATCGGAGCGCAGTTGTCACAGTAATAATTTGGCAGATTAGTTTTCAAACAAATTAAATGACATTTTGTCTCTATTCCTGGTTATATACTCGATAGTCACGGGTGACTAGATGGTAAAGTCATCAAATCGTTGCCTGTAAAGGGCCTGAAACGTTTCTTTGTTTAAAAAAACAATATCGATGCCTTATTTTCTCAAACACGTATCTTATAAAGAGTAATTATTCAGGAGATGGCAAAACTTTCTATTTATTTTAAATTTCTTATCAAGGGTATTAATTTGGAAGCATTACTTTAAGAACAGGCAAACGCCAGTGTGTGAATATGAAGGAAATGTCATGTGAAATCAGCCTGCAAAATTTGTACATACGATCATTGACTTACAATTATATGGACGTCGGGTCCGCGCTAAAAAGTGTCCGAACTTATAGGGCGTTAAAATCGTATACTGAGCGTCATTCACGCTTTAGTCTTCGTTTGTTAACGTTTTAGCTTTTTCATATGACTTTACATGTCACTACGTTTAAATAGGTTGACTTGGGACATTTTTTCGTGGTTTTTGTATTAGACCCGTCGTCCATTTATTTGTAAGTCAATGCATACGATACATTTTTTGCATTTCACTTACTTTGTGTTAAAGATACGAATTCGAGAAAGTAACGCCACGATATATGCGAATTAAGAAATAGTTTCATTTATTATGTGTAACAATCGCGGAAACTTCAAAAATCGAAGAATATAAGTGCCAATATTTCGAAAGTTACTAAAATGCAAACGCGTTACAATATGAAGGCCCTCTAAGGGTCAAAACACATAAGTGCGTTGACGTCGCATCGCAGAAATCTACGAGCTCGCACGACGCATTGCAAGTATTTGCGAATTGGCCCGCATCGCGCATTCCTGCGATGTTAATCTTCTTTGTCTTTTTTTCCTATACTTAAATAACAGCAGTGCAACACTCTTTTTACGATCCATGTTGATTACCTAGTTTTAATAATACGTTAATGGTTATCCGAACCGTGGCAGTATGAAGCTTTGTCGCAAAATCGCATCGCAGCAATTTGCGTCGCAGTTTTCTGCGTTGCGAATTCGCATTAAGCCGATCCGCAGTTTTGTGTTTTGACCTTAACACCACGTTAGAGTTTTATTAGTTAGTATTTATTATGTATTGTAAAAAGTTAGTAGTATAGTCCTGTGAGGTTGTTATTATTTTAAAAATAACCCTGTGTATGTGGGGGTCTTGGAATAAAAGCGATTTCCCGGTTAAACACTTATTTTTATTTTTTAAAGAAACTTCCGAGCACACGTCGTAAGTTCTCTCGCGCAATTCATCTCCCTTCCGTCTCATACCTTCTCGCTCGCACCCACAATATTACAATCCTACATAATACGTGCTGGAAATTAATTGCCTTATCGATTTCTCAACAGAAACTTCAGACACGCGTAGTTTCAATGGTTCATGGGACAGTCGGTCGACAGATGAAGACTGTGTTGAGGCTACACTACTTGTAAGAGGTATGCTGTACTTTGTTTAACCGAAGGTACATTTTTTAGCAGTAGAGCTTTGTGAAAGAATACGTCCGGGGAAGGACTGCCATCATACATATTTCTGTCGTCAAGCAGTAATAAGAGCATAACTGCGTTTTCTTTTTGAAGAGTTAGGTTGCTGGTGAAACTACAAGCACATGGCGCTTGTCAACTTTATTTTTTTTGTTTTTTTTTTTATATTACCAAGTGACGGGACGAACAAGTCGTGCGTCTGTGGTAAGTATTACGCCTATCCATAACAGTTGCAGTGCCACTCAGAGCTTTAAATTGCAAAGATCTTTGGGGCATTGACTCTGCATACGCCACTCCGAGACATAACTTGACAATTCCCATGTGTCTGTAATTACACCAGCACCCTTACCCTTCAAAACCGGATCACAAAAATGCTGACATTACTGCTTGGCGGCAGAAATAGGTAAGGTTCTTCTTCCCTTTATGTCTCAGGGTGACGGGTACAGTGGTAGTCTCTCATGTTTTTGCAATTTAAAGCTCTTGAGTGGCAACTGCAACTGTTGTGGACAGGCGTGTCGCCTTGTAACTTGAAAATTAAGATTATAGATCGTAGTATCCCATAAATAAGGTTCAATATTAAATTCGCTAGTCAGTACGTATTTTCTAACCTAGTATGTTATAGAATAGTATATTTTTTATCGAGGGACTAAAACGAACCAGCCGAGGTGGTGTCTATTACTCAGAGTGTTTGTATTGACTTCTAGTCTCGAGGTGAAAATTTTATTTTTCATTTAGATTGCGAGAAAAAATAATTGCAATCGTTTTCACTCTACAACAAAATTAAAAACCAAAAGTTGAAGATTTCGCGAGTTTTTTTTTAACAACCGGACACCAAACTCATTAACGCGGTAGCGTTCAGTATGTTCACTGGAAGTAAATTAAAAAATTAGGTACTTTTTACTCACTAGGGATTTTTTTAAATATAAGATCAAGTGACGGAACGATTAAGTCGTGCGCCTGATGGTAAGTTACACGCCTGTCTATAAAAGTTGCAGAGCCACTCAGAGATTCAAATAGCAAAGATCTGACTGCCACTGCGCCCGTCACCCTGAGTCATAAGTTGACAAGTCCCATGTGCCTTTAATATCACCAGGATTCTTACCCTTCAAAACCAGAACGCAGTTACGTTTACATTACTGCTTGGCGGCAGAAATAGGTAAGGTGGCAGTACTTCTCTGGACGAACTCTTTCACAAGGAGCTCTACTGCTACGAATTAGAAATGGGATACGAAAGGGAATAAAGGATGCACTTTACTCCAGATACGTAGGGCTACATTGACGTACTTTTGAAAAATAATTTTAAATGTTTGACAGAACGCTCCCTCAGCGCTTTGGAAGTACCTCCACCACAAATATACTCCTGCAGGCTCTCGTGCGGAGCGCTAGCGTACTGCACGCTATGGCGCTGCGCGAACGGGCCGTCCAGGGCCCCTACAGTGTTACATGTTTATGGGGGACCCGAAGTTCAGACTGTCACCAATAGCTACAAGGTGAGTACTCCCCTTCGAACTTCTAAACATACGTGTTCGGGTTTGTTCCCCTTTAGTCTGTCCGGTATCCAATTTTTCGTAAAATCCTTCGTCTGGTTTGTCATTTACTCGGCCCTATGTCTATTGCACATAAGACACCCCTTGGGGTTTGTCACTTACTCGACCCTACGTCTATTGCACAAAA